TAAATCATAAAAAGGAGTCTTGCGACGTTGTCAGCGTGAAAATAGAGATCAAGAGCTTCAAAATGATATATAACTTGCTAAAATTGGGTTCGAAACAGCGAAGAAAAGGGTACCGGAGCCAAATGCCCCGCGCCCCGCGTTTGGGGTAGCGAGGTAGCGCGCAGCGCGCGGAGACGCAGACGAGCAGCGGAGACAGACCAGAGCCGGCGGGGCATTTGGCTCTGGTCATTGATCTCCGAGGGGTCATAACAAAACCCTATAATATTATATATCGTTGTGATCCTCATGAGACGGCCAGGAGCACTGACAACGTCGCAGGTCTTGAAAATCACTCCATTACGAGATAAACCAGCATTTATGTGGCGACTCTCTGCGCAAGATTTCAGCGCAGTTTTTCGTTTTCATTGAATTCCAGCGGCTTTCATGAACCTCCAACGCTCAATCGCAGTCTACAGAAAGGTTAATTGATAAGTTTCATCCTAATTTTTAACTGAATTTTTGAAGAAAAACCTTCTTTTCAGCAAAAAAGGCCATAAAACGCGATCCTTCGGTTTTTTGAGCATTTTCTGGATGTCACTACTATATTTGCCTCATTCACATTCATCCTTACATAGTTAGTCATTAGTTATATCATAATATCCGGGCTTCGCCCCGGATGACTTCTGTATTCCTCTCCAGGTGAAGGTTGTGTCCTCTCATGACACTCAAAGTGAAGGTTACCAGAGTACGTAGCTCTATGTATCGAAGGTATGCTCATCCCTGAATAGCGAACGTAACCAGGGTTCAGGGGAGGGCGCGGGGGGGGGGGGGAGGAAAGGGCGACAGAATTTTTTCGGATGAACCGAAAATTTTTTGATATGCTCCTTAACAATTTTTTGGGTCCATAATCCCGAATTTCCAGAAAAAGGGGGCATTGCGGCAGCCAACTACCGAAAAACAGAAAATTTTTTCTATAAAGCTAGAATTGAATTTTTTCAATTATTTGCAGGTATAAGCTGACAAGCGAATGGTCAGAAGTCGAAGTGGTCAATCCATACAAGCTGCATATAATTTGATGCAGCATGAAACGCTGACTCTAAATCTGTCTTCCTTATCTGCAGAGCGCTTTTGTGGATGAAATTATAAGCCGTTGAAGGCCATTATTTTGCTTAGAAATTATGCATGTAATGTGCAAATTTGGCATTACAAAGCCATTCTCCGCTCAGTGTTGGACTGAACCATGCAACTAGGTCATTTCATATGATCTGTACCTAGAGATGAGCTGAAAGGGCAATAATGTCCCTAATTTCGCAATTTTTGCATACGATTTTTTCGCAGTAAAGCTGCTCATAACTTCGCCTACAAAGGCGCTCTGCAGATAAGGAAGACAGATTTGAAATCAGCATTCTATGCTGCATCGAATGGTATGCAGCTTGTATGGATTGGCCACTTCGACTTCTGACCATTCCCTTATAAGCATTTGCACATTTTTCATGACAATGTGAGCAAATTCAAAATTTTTCGCTTCCGCCCCCCCCCCCCCTCCGCCCCAGCCCTCGGTAAGCTGAACAGCAGTAGTAGACAAAGGGAGGAAAGGAGGAGGGTGGAGGGGTTCATTTCCAAGAATGGGCCGAAGCAGCCTATATGCGTTCTGAAATCGTGCGAATTTTGGATTCCTCCAAAAAACACAATTTATCTAAACATAATTACCGCCACACCCCCATTCTCCAAAATCTCGTGGAAATGCCGCAAAAATTCTGATAAGCCTTCCAAGAACTTTCTCGAAGGGTGTTTTTTACGCCATCCCTGTATGGGGCACACCACGTTCCTGTAATTTTCTAGAGCATGGAATGTGGGAAAATTATGAGGGTGCGTAGTTCCAATTTGCATTTTTTTGTCTCAAACAGCCTATCTCCGAGAATTTCTCAGACCACTTACCAAACTGCGCAGGTGGTGTCACACAATATATTCAGCAGTAAGTGGAGCTCTACCTTGCACAGGCATGTAATTTCCCTCTTTTGTTTGTTTTCAGAGGAAGAACTGAACGTCCTCGTTGAATGTTTGGTACAACTCGCAATATGTCGAAATTTTATTGTTCCCATTTGCACATATAAAGAATGTCTATTTGATGAACGGATGCCAAAGCATGTCCTAGATTAAACTCTTTGCATTGATGCAAGAGTAAAAATGAGAATTTGTTGGATTACTATAAAAGTTTGTCGTTCATACTACCATTTATTAGTGATTATAAGTATTAGTGATCGCTGTTAAACTTGAAAGTACACTGCTGTCCAAAGAAACAAAAGGGGCATCTAAACGGAAGATAAGGGAAGTGAAAACAGTACTCCTCAAAAGAAATGCATACAAAGAGTAGGTCACAAAACAATATTACTGAGAGCATTCACATCCAATTGCAGATTTAGATTTCTGGCGACCTAGCTGAGTGCGAGAAAAACTCGAATAAGTTTTCTCTACCGCTTCTATTCTCAGACTTTTCCTTTAAGTAGTAGCAGTGATTTTCTTTATAAATCACTTTTTCGCCAGACCCATTTCTTCAAAGATATCTTTAAAACGTGCATTAATCGAAAGAATTTTCTAATAGATTTTATGAAGACTGTCTCCCTGGCACGTGTCAAGATAAAAATTAAGGAGTTTAAGCCTAGTTTGACATGTTTTTAGACTTATTTCCGATAAGGTAAGAGAGTATTGAATTAGCCCAGTCGCTGTTTAGCTGTTTTTTTATTAGGTTGTTGCAAAAATAATGTCCATTTTGCAAAGTCCCTATTTGAAAGGCTATAACTTTGTTCAGTCTTTATACATCATTAAAAACGAAAGAATTATCTCAACACCATAAACACCATTAAGAACACCGTTCTCCCGCCTGTAGAAACGATATTGTAGTATATATTCTGAAAAGAGTAAAAAAATTTGAAAACATGATTTATGGGCAGTGAAGAACAATCATGCACACTGAGTCCTCAGCTTGCTAGATTTTGAGGGGAATGCAGAAAGCATTTTCGCGCCGTTGTTCGCTGCGGCGGGTGGGCCTTATACAAGGTGCGCCTTATACCCCGGAAATTAGGGTATTTCTGAATGCAATCAAAATCATATGAAGCAGTAAACCTTTTTTGACTTGATGCGCATCTGCATTTACTGATATCACAAAGGGGAAGAAGACCATGCGTCAAAAAACCGAAAGTTTTTCTTGTGAAAACCTCGTCTTTGAGAGTTTAACTCCTTCAAGTTTGATTGTCATGGCTGCTAATCAGCCTATTTTGTAGACACAATCCAGTAGCATACCCCTGCTTAAATAAGACTTCAACGAAGGAGTTCTGCGAAAAGAAAGAGAAATCCAAAATTGTCCACTTGTTTAAGCTTATTTGTGGTAGGCCAGAAAGTCCTAAACTATGGAAATTTGAGATTCTTCATACACTGAATAGCTAAACATTTCTGCAAAAATTGTAGGAAAGACGTCCTGGTCTCAAGCATATAGAAATGAGCGAAGCTTCGGCAATTGCACTGATTATGAGAAACTTTGGACCTATAGAATGCCAGCAGCAAGTATCTATTTCGGGGCGTCGATTTCTCGGTTCAGACGTTTTCGGAAAATGTACTTAAACATGATAAAGGTAAACAACATTCAACCAATACAGATGCTATGTTTTCAAAAGATTCCGTTCATTTGCGCCTGAATTGTGGCCAAGAAAGTTGAAGCAACACAATTTCAATTTTGATTGCGGCTGTGTGAGATGCTGATGAAATTCTCACAGATAAGACAGAAGATTAATTTCACCACTGTTAGGAAATACATGAAGAAAGCTTCCCCTGCTATGCGGAATTTATATCGAAAAAGAAATTTCAAAGGAAAAAAGTTGTTCGGAAAGTAGGCCTAGAAAAACGGACATGATTTTTTGCAACAGCCTAATATAAAAGCAAAACAATTCGAAACGTTTATCAAAACATCTTGGTCGTTTTCAGCACTAATTCAAAAATATCCTTTTCAAATTGTTTTTCCGATATGCGAGTTTGGCTAGCAAAGAATAACGTTGCAATAAGAAGAATAAATAAGAATGACGTTTCCGTGGGTGTTGCAAATGTTTCACATTTTGAAATGTAATTGTACAAAAAAATTTGAGGGTCAACGAATGCGATAGTGATTGGAAAAACCAGGTGGATTTATAATTTTGTCCAGCTTTCATTAAGGGCTGTTTCAAATTTTTTCGTTTTTCTCCGTTCAAACTCAACAAGACTGGAAGCCGTTTTGAGTGGTCATGGTAGGTTGACTTGCGCACAATACTGCAAAGTTTCAGACAAATTCATTCACAAGAACGAAAATTACGGCGATTTCTAAAATGGCTTCATGATTATGGCCAGCAAAGTATAATATTAGTGAAAGATGTCAGCTAAGCCCATTACGCATGCTAGAAGCACAAGATATTTTAAACTTTATTTTCCAGAATAGTGTGCATAAAGAAGGCCTACCGCACATAATTTGTAGCATTTTCGTAATTAGCATGCTAAGTAGCTCTTGGACCAAGATTTGGCAATTTCGAGGCTTCCAAATATTGGGCATCATCGCAGAATGCTTATATACAAGCATGATCACCCGTCGTTTGCTCAGACAATCGCAAAATTTTTTCCGGGAAAACTGAACTTCTAAAACTTCCGGGGCGGACGCCCTATTGAACCGTGTGGGTGGGTCCCGCCCTACCTGGCCACGCCCTACTTGGCAGCTCCAACAGGAGTGTCCCCGGAAGTTTTAGAACTTCAGTTTTCTCCCGAAGTATTTTGCAATTGTATGAATGGAAGGTGAGTTATATCTTTTTGCACTCAACATAAAGCGCTTTTTGCCCACAGCTTCTTTGCCCACATGAGAATTCCACCAAATCCGAAAATATTAGCCAAAGATAAATTGTAGATTGTTGTTTATCTAATACCACCTCATGCCTTATGCAGTTCATAAATCCACTAATATGAACCATTTCAACTTGGAAAGCAGCATTGCTTGGTAGCGCTGCACCATGTCGTCATCTTTTAGAATCGTATGGGTTGTTCGGCATGCGGAAAGGTCAGACATCTGGACATGTCTGACATCTGTCAGACATCCACGCAAAATGGTCAAAAACACATTTATTGTAGGGAAGACAACTTCAATCCAAACTGGCAAAGTTTACCTCAAGCTCGTGGTTTAGCCGACGATGATCCTTTCTTGAGCGAACGTGGTCGTCGTCAGGCACAAGAAGTTGCAGCAAGGTATAACCTTTCGTTGGAACTAGCAACAGCTTCTTACAACAATCGTCCCCCAACATGTCGCATTACCTCCCTTTGCTTCAAGTTCTGAATCGGTTGCAAAGCTTAGATCTTTTGCGTAGAAAAGTACCATATAATTTGAATTGTATGAATTGAATTGTGTTGTAATTATTATTTGCAAAAAAGTTCGCTCTTACACCGCTCATACCGATTTTGTCGTCCAGGCTACCTAGTGCATTGAAAATTGATGACGAAGTAGACCTTGTGTACTACTATGATATAGGCCGTCCGCGCACGGCGCGGAGAGTGCGCAAGGTGTGTATTGCGCGTACTCCTCTTCCCTCGTGCACTCCCGCCGCCTGTTTTTCTCTGCGCTTCTTCCAGTTGTGAACTGCCTTCAATATACGCAACAGCGTTGCTCTCCGTGCGCAGCGCGGACGGCCCATAGTTTGCGCAGGAATGAGAGCACATTTCGTTTATATTCTTACTAGCTGGCTTACACGGCTCCGCCGTATGTTCCGAATAGAAAGTTCCATTTCTTAACCAATCCGGACCAAACTTAGCACACATACACTTCGGGCCCCGGCGGGTGTCATAGGCTACTTTTCGTCATCGATCGATGTCGATTTTATCAATTTTTTGCAAAATTTGAGCTACGGGGCTGGTGCCAAATTCCAGCCCCGTAGCTCAAACTTTGCAAAAAATTGATAAAATCGACATCGATCGATAACGAAGAGTGGACTGTGACACCCGCCGGGGCCCGAAGTTTATGTGTGCCAAGTTTGGTCCGGGTCGGTTAAGAAATGGAATTTTCTATTCGGAACATACGGCGGAGCCGGGTAAGCCAGCTAGTCTAGTATATTCCCTCACTACAAAGAAAGGCAACGGCAAAATCGGGGTCTTAAGGGCAATCTCCTGCGATGAGCGCATTATTCTGTTGGGAACAGAATTTTCCTCTTATAATACTCTTTACCTTTGATAACTCCGCGCAACATTAATCGCCATGGACGTTTTGCCATTTTCAAATTTATTGCTAGTAGATCTCGAAACATTAGCTGTTCAAGTCTTGTGAGTCGATAAAAATCCCCATATTCTGCGAATGGATATGTGATTACAAGGACTTGTGAGAGATTTGCCATCGGGTGGCAACTGAAAAAGAAAGGGAAGAAAGGTGCGAGAAAGGTGTGCATGCAGAAGAAATAAGTGCTCCACTTAACGTTTATTTTTTAAGAAAAGCAGCACAATACCGCTCACATGACTACCTACCAAATTTTCGACCTTCCGTTCTATTCTGGTGATCGCGCGACACGGCGATCGTGCGAAATCACGCGAATCACAAGTTCAATCGCAAGCTACACATCGCCATTACTTCCTAACGAATATCATAACTTACAAGAACGGCTTAAGCGTGTTTTTGTGTATCTGTTACGAAAATGTAGAGCATGTTTCAGCCACCCTTCAAAGCCCAAATTTTACATAGCGCATGCTACCAGCGTGAAAGTCCACCATGCAAAAGTACGAGCGGGTTGGTTAAGTAGTTTTCACAAAAACTGTGAGTCAAACGGATCCGCTTATCTTCTCGACAGCATCCATAGTACCACTTTGCCAACTCAATTTGCCAAGATTCTAGCAGAGCATTTGAGAAGATCTTTGTACAGAGATGTAGCTCATGGTGATTGTCGCTCTTATGGTGACTACTACAATACCGCTCACATTTTTTGAAAAATAGACGCGAATGTATGGACATGTATGGACATGTACGGACAAGCCCATACATGTTCGCATAACCTCTACGAGCAAGTTTTCCGATATGTTAGGGTTATTCCATTTTTTCTCGTTTTACGCTCCGGAAGCTCGCCGACGGATTTTGGTCGAAATGTTAGTGCTCTTGAATTGTAAGGGAACTTCGCTTATACAGGTTTTCGAACACGCTCTTTACAAAAATCGTAGTCTTTGAGGATTACAGGATCTTTTTTATTTATTTATTTATTTATTTAGATACAGTCGATAACATAAGGAGACAGATAGGCGCGTGTTAACAAGAATGATCGACTTTGAAATCTTGGAGTCTGTTGAAAATGCATGATATCCCATTTTTTTAGAGTGCCAGCGAGTCTGCGGGTAAAGGCTAGCTGACGTGACCCGGTAGAGTATGATTTTCAATAGAACACCAAGACTTAGGAAAAAACAATTCGCCATTTATGCTAATGCATGGGAATAAAACTCTGAAGTATAGATATTTTAGAAGAATATGATGGATAAATAGAGAATGATAATATTTAGTCATAAGTATGATTTGGAGCCACTTAAAAGAAGAAAATCAAAATTAAAAATGGATGTAGATTTTTGGTAGCAGCAGACATCGTCATTCAATTGTAACATTGATTAAATTGACCGAATCTGTAAATAATGTTATCAGAAGTATCCTTTGGATCTCATACTCTTTAGAACTTCTCTGTTGAATACGAATGTAGATGTAGTTTGATAGCCTTCTCAGGGACTGCGTTCCATGTTTTGATAATACGTACCAAGAAAGAGTCGTGAAACTGTTGTGTAAGTACTTTTTCCACTGTGAGTCTGGGATTGTGTCCTCTGATAATATTGTTGAAATTAGAAAATCTGAAGAAGTCTTGCATTGCAAGGTTGACTTTCTTGGTTATGACATTGTAGACAAGGTTTTGGTCGTAAATTTTTCTTCTTAGTGAGAGAGAGGCAGCAAGCATGCAAAGTCGCGATTTGTAAGGTAACCGAAACAGCCCTGCTCTCGCAAATATTCGTGCAGTATGTGACTTCTGTACTCTTTCCAGGGTATTGACCATTCTCTTTGTAGAAGGAGACCATACAGGAGTGCAGTACTCTAGTAATGGTCGAACATAGATAGAGAGAGGCGGAAAAGAGTTTTGACTTTTGTAGTTCGAAAGGCGTGCAGTATGTAATTACATCTGGTATGAGCTATTCTGGCAAGCTCTTCTATGTAGTACTCAAAGTTGAGCTTATCAGAATAAGTGACACCGAGATTTTTAATGAAATTTGTCATTCCAACTTTTTGATTTCTCAAGTAAAAATTGTGAAATCGGGGATGTTTGGCTCCAACAAACATGATACATGTTTTTTCTACAGAGATATCACGCTCCCATTTGACTGACCAGTCCTCCACCGCATCTAAAGCTTTTTGCATCAATTCAGGTGCATTATAGCAGAACAGTTTTGTATCATCGGCATAGATGGAACAGAGGATATTAATGGGTAGACATAGAGGTAAATCATTTATATAAAGTAAAAATAGAAGTGGTCCTAAGCAGGTTCCTTGAGGAACACCGCTGCTTGTTTGATATGTAGAGGAGAAAGATTTATTAATCAAAATCTTCTATGTACGGTTGAGCAGAAAGGCTTTGAGAAAACTCAGGAGACAACCTTCTGTTCCATATGCTTTTAGTTTGGCAAAAAGTAGATTCAGTGGGACGGAGTCAAAGGCTTTTGTGTAATCTATATAGCACACAGTAACAAATCCTTTCTCATTGATTATTTTCTGCCATATGGGAATTGTCGAAATGAGAGCTGTTAATGTAGATCTTTTGGGAAGGAATCCATGTTGAACTGTATGTATCAATTGGTTATTCTCAAGATACCTGCAGATTTGTTTGCAAATCATCCTCTCAAAAACCTTGCTTACTGAGGATGTCAAGCAGATTGGTCTATAGGTTTTTGGTTGAGATTTGTTGCCTTTTTTGAAAATTGGTTTCACAATTGCAGTACGCCATAGTTCTGATATTTCTCCGCGAAGTAGAAATCTTTGGAACAAAAGAGTAAGGGCAGGAGAAATTCCAAGAGAAGCTTTTCTCAGAAAAACATAAGGAAGTTCATCAGGAGACGTAGATTTTCTGAGAGGCAATTTCTTCAAGGCGTGGTAGACGGTGTCCCCAGTAATGTCTAAGAAGTCGATTTTAGCGTTTGTGAATTGTGAACATTCAACTACAGATGAAGGTTTTTGTAAACGGTCTTGAAAAAGGCGGCAAATGCTTCAGCCTTGTCTTTATCAGTTTTACAAACATCACCGAATGAATTATATATAGTGCCGATACTGTTCGTAACTTTTAAATTTTGATTGCAGAAGCGGTAAAAAGTTAATATTGCGGCTACGTGCAACGATTTCTTCTTCGGAAATCCTGCAAAGGACCAGTTCACGTTTTAACTTTGCGGAGAACCTGCGGTATTTTTGTAATCCAATCTTATGTCTAGCTTGCTATAATCTAGAGACTTTAGCTTCCAATTTCTGAATTTTCTCTGGATATGCGAAAATGTGTTCTCGATTAATTTTGATTTTGGGTACAAATTTTTTAATTAGTTCATGACAGTATTCAACAAAGACCTGATAACACTGGTCTGCTGAGAGCGTACTTTGAATAATATTACGCCAGTTTACTCTAAGCAGATCAGAAATTATCTCATCGTAGTCTGCGTGAAGGAAATCGAGCAAGAATTTTTGAGAGGAGCTTCTGCTATGATGTTTGCGTAGCTGAAATGAGACGGAAGGGTTGGTCTGATGTAGAGAAAGGGGAGCGAACTCGGAGATTTTTTATCAGATTATAATTGCTTGCGAATACCAGATCTAATAGATGCATGTTGTGAGTGGGAACATTTACGAGCTGATATAGATTATAAGTTTCCGCTAGTCGCCGCAGTTTGGTGGAAGAAAACAATGATTTTGTTTTGTTTTTTCAGTGAGCCAGGCATTGTTAGTTTAAATTAAAGTCTCCTAAAACTATACAATCTTGATTTCTATCGAGTATCTCAGTGATGGAAGACAGAGCTTTTTCAAATGAGGCGTTGTTACATGAAGGACTTCTGTATACCAAGATAAAATATATGCATTTTGTGTCGTGCGTCAAGCAGATACAAAGGCTTTGACAGTAGACAGAAAAGTTTAGGCTAAACACGAGATGGTGCTCAATGTTTTTGTGTATGAGTATAAGAACGCCTCCACTATCACCTTCTCTATCACA